CATAAAAAAAAAAAAAAAAAAAAAAAAAAAAGCTGGGCAGCAGCCTGCTTGTACTTCCAGCACTGGGGAAGCAGAGACAGGCAGACATCAGGGGCTTCAGGCCAGTGACAGACCCCATCTCAATAAAACAAGGAAAACAAAGAACTTTTGAGAGGAACCTTTAGAGTGCTGGTTGCCTTTCTCCCTCTCCCTGACACGACAGAGTACTCTTGCTGCTGGGTAGGATAGGTAGGTTCTAGAAACACATTCCAAGCATAGGAAATTACCTGTAAAGGGCCACTTTGCAGGCAGGGCATGAACATGGGTGGCCTCACCCTGGTCCATGCCACTGTCCCCTGGCTGCATGATGGCCAAAGCCAAATGGGAACCTTGGCATTGGGGATGGAACAGAGAGTACTCTGGGCCCTAATGCCAAGCTGACTGTCCTTGCCTACAGCCTCCAGAGAAGGAAGGCGCTCTCCCACGCCAAGTGGGCAACAAAACCGAGTGTGCTCTGTTGGGCTTCATCCTGGACCTGAAACGAGACTTCCAACCTGTACGCGAGCAGATTCCAGAAGATAAACTTTACAAAGTGTACACCTTCAACTCAGTCCGCAAGTCCATGAGCACAGTTATACGCATGCCTGATGGTGGCTTCCGCCTCTTCAGCAAGGGAGCCTCAGAGATCTTGCTCAAAAAGTGAGTGGATAACAGGAAGGAGGCCAGGGGCCGGGTGGCTGAAGGCTAGCTAAAGGACACAATTTTTTTTGTTGTTTCATTTTTGTGATAAAGTAGACCTAACGTAAAATTTACCATGTTAGCCACTTTAAAGTATACAGTTCAGTAGCATTAAGTATATTCCTAATGTTTGCAGCCATCACCGCTGTAGAACTCCAAAATATTTTCATCACCCACAAAAGAAACCCCAGGCCCCAAGAAGGAGATTTTCCTGCTCCCTTTCTACCTCTGGCAACTTCTGGCCTGTCCTTGACCTATTCTGGAGATTTCATAAAAATGGAATTCTGTACTTTGTAGTCTTTATGTCTAGCTTCCATCATAGCTCATAATGTCCTCAAAGTTTCTTTATCAGAACTTCACTCCCATTTGAAGGCTGAACAACCCAGATTGTTTCTACATTTGGGCTGTTGTCAATAATGCTATGGTCATTCAAGTACAGCTATGAGTTTGAGCACACATTCTCAACACTTTGAGGTATACACTGTGTCAGCCAGCTTTCTGTTACTAGAATACTTGAGATGAGCACAGTGATACACACCTCTTGTCCTAGCTGAGGCAAATGATGAGACAGGAGGATGTCTTGAATCTAGGAGTTTGAGGCCAACCTGAGCAACACAAGGAGGCCCTTCTACCCACCACCACCACAAAAAAAGGAGAAAAATCAACTCATAAAAGATTTATTTAGATTTATAATTTTAAATGTTTAAGTCCATGGTCAGTTGCCCCCACTGCCTATAGACCTGTGACAGGATGGAACACCATGACAAGGAGTATGTGATGAAGCAAAAGGCTAGGATGAGAACAAGAAAGAGGAAGAGAGCACAGTAACACAAATCTCTTGAAGAACATGTCCCCCATGACTTAAAATTTCCCTAAAATGCCCCCATCTTAAAGGTTGCACCACCTCCCAACAGCATGAAAGTGGAGACCAAACACTTAACATATAGGCCTTTTGGAGGACATTATAGATTTGGTGTAGCATTCTATTCCTGTCCCTCAAAGGCTCATGTCCATCTCACAATGCAAAATGCACTAAGTCCACTCCCAAGATTCCTCAATGTCTTAACTGTTCCAAAAGCCCAAGTTCAAAGTCTCACTCACACTTAGTATTGAGTCCCTACAAAATTCCAAAACAAGTTATGTACTTTTAAGATACAATGGCACAGAATAAATATTCCCATTCCAAAAGGCAGAAATGGAAGCACAGTGAGTACATATTGAACCAGAGCAAGACAGAAAAGCAGTATAACATTAAATCATGTAGTTCCATGTTCAATGACATCTGAGCCATGAGGTGATGTGATGTGAGCTACAAAGGGCTTAGACCTCTCTGGTCTTGCCTCTGTCTCTTGAGCTGGCTTCCTGGAGCTATCCTCATCAGGGGTTACATAGTCTGAGCATCTCTAACTTCCTGCAATCTCTACTGTAGCTTCAGTTTCACCCTCACAGCTGTGTGCACTACCTAGAGGGATCCTGATACAACAATACATCTATCCCCTGGCTACCCAAGCTTTCCTTTAAAATCTAGGTGGAAGCATCAAAAAATCTGCAATTCTTGCATTCTGAACATCTGAAAATCACCATATGGAGGATACCAAGGCCTTTCACTAGCTTGAGCTACATTTGGGCCCACTTCAGCCATGACTGTAGTAGCTTCTGAGTCCCTTTCTGGATGAATAAGCAGGGACAATCCCAGGGAAACAATTCACAGTTCGTTGCACTGATTAGGACAAGCAGGCCATCCTGGGGCTGTCCTCTCAAAATACTCTGCTCTAGAAAGTCTTTAAAAGCAACTGAACTGTAATGGCTGTGTCCTTGCTAATTTCTGAGAGTCTCTCCAGACATCATTCTTATAGTATCAGTGCAATGCTTGACCTTTTGAAGTGACACTATCACTTTAGCAACATCCTCCTTGGCTGGAACTTTATAGCACATCTTCTCTGGCCAAAACTGAAAGTCTTCTTTAAAAAAAAACTTCTAAATTTACATTTATTTACATTTATTTGTTTGTTTGTTTAATGTGTGTGTGCCCACATGTGTGGAGACAGATGTGGGAGTTGGTTCTCTCTCCTCTCACAATGTGGGTCCTGGAAATCAA